CCCCAAAACCCCAAAACCCCAAAACCCCGCATTTTAAATCAACTGATGAAAAGATAAAAATTAAAATAAAAAGTTACTGTAATAAATATCACTTTTATTTACTCTTTAGTGAAATTAACTGTTTGACTATAGTAGGTAGAGAAGTAAGACTGCTTTCTTTTACAATTACTCCAAACCCATTCTTCACACAAGGCTCAGGATTAATTTCAACTACTGGTACCTCGAGTTTTGCTAAAGTTTTTTGAACTATTTAATTTGCAAGACTAGTTTATAGAGCGGTCCCAATTACAATCAACCCGTCTAGTCTATCATTGAGATACTCTGAAACTGTTTTGCTTCTATATAACTCCTCAGTATAAGATTCATCAAAGAACATACAATGAGGTTTCATCACTGATTCACACTTTTGACATAAAGGCACATGACTTCTTCTTTCCTCAGGATCAATAGGTGGTTCTGGGCTTAGGTAAAAGTCGTTACAACAATTTTTATAACATCTCATATACAATACATTGCCATGAACCTCTAATACATCCTCTGTAAAGGCAAAATTCGATGTTCCTTCTGTTTTGTCAATCTTTTTAGCTTAATTGTTATTTTAAATAGTGACAGTGTGAAAGTTGTCGATATTCTATGTAACGAGTAAAGTGTTCAACTTCTTAGGATAATTTTTAGAAAATTTTTGAAGTTCATAAATTGCCTGATGCCCATTATTCGGTTTGCAGGTCTTCATTAAATCTATAAAGTCATAATGCCACTGCCAAGCTATAGATGGATTTTAATCAAAGCATTTTAGAGTTAGGATCTCAGTTGGGTCCTCGATGCCCTCGTAAGATTTTGTCCAAAAGCCATTGCTTCCTCTAAATGTAGGTATGCCACTGGCTGCACTTAGACCTGCTCCTGTTAGTATCATAATGTTTTTGCAATTCTTTAGATATTCAGCTGCTTTGATCGCTGTTACTTCAACAGGTTTATGAGTGTATTCTACATTTTGAGAGGTAACTGTATCTTTGAGAGAAACTGCTAATTTGTTTATAGCAACTCCAAAATCTGATTTAAATTTCTCATATCTCTCCTCGACTTCTCTACTGGCTTTCAGTGCTCCTTCAATCCCTACTTTTGCTATAGCATTCTTCTCCATAGTCTCCTTTGCCTTTCGTTGAGTTTCCCTAACTTATTCCATAAGTCTTACATAATATAAGTTTTTTTCATCATCACTCATTTAGCTGAGAGGCTTCTCATAATATTCTGGCTTTGAAGATTCCATTAAATATAGCTAAATTCCTTATTGAAATTACTTATTTTAAAATTGATAATTTAAGTGGCAAACTTAAAAACTTAAAACTTAAGAAATTAAATTTATATATACATTAAGACAAACTTATCAGTCAGTTATTCCAATAAAAGCAGATTAATATATAAGAATAATACATGCTCAATATCTAGTCCTAGAAGCGATATATGTTTGGATGAGATGAGCAGTGTAAGTTACAAATAAACTGTAGATAGGAATAAAGTATGTCATTACTTTCAGCCAATACCCATACTCCTTCTAATTAGCATCAAAACTAAATATGGGATGATCTCCACTGCATAATTGTCCAGGATATGTAAATCTAACTACAGGCACACCAACTGTAAGCAAAAGCACTAATATCTCATTAAAGGCTGTAAATGTATAAATCTAATGACAAAAGTCCCATCTGAGTAAAACAAACAGCACAAATAATCCGCATCTCAAAAACTCGATCGCATAATATACAAGTATCAGAAACATAAAAGCTTTCATAGTTGGAGTATAATTAACTCTAAATGTTTTAGTCAAATGCTAAGTCTTATCATTAGCTGCCCAGCATGTGTTATTCATTTCTTAAGCAATTTTGCTTGCAGTGATTGAAAATATGATTAAGGCTATTATTCCGTAAATGGAGTATTAGATTAGAGTAATGAGATATTAGCCATGTTCCAGTCTAAATTTAGGATTCAAGGTGATTGTGCCAAAGTGTTTTCATATTTTTTCGCACTTTCGTTTAGGAGTACGATATAGTCTATAAACCTTTGAACCTGGCTGTACTTTATTGCTTGGCATTTTCAATTTTATCTTAATTTATTAAATTTCAGTTTTATCAAGAAATATTACAAACGGGGTTTTGGGGTTTTGGGGTTTTGGGG